CATGCAAGTGCGAGGAGGCGTGCGTGCCATTCAGTTACTGCATGGCAAGCTGATTGCACTTAGCGAAAGTCCCAGCAGAGTTCAGAGTTAGGCCGACTCACATAGATCAATGGTGTCTTGGAAATGGGTTCTTAGATGCTGGTATTTTACTGATAAATACCAAGGATTATACTTATAAAATTATAATCGAAATGGACTCCCAAATCATTATTTAAGGTTCAATATTCCCCCTGAATAATAATCAGCTGTCACCTTAATGAAATTTTAGTTAAAGAATACTTATCTTATTTTGATTTTTTTAAATATGCATTATGGTATCTGGTGTGGTATTCTAGTCATTTTACGTTGTTTTTACATATATTAATTATATGTAAGCAATTTATGTGACAGCCGAGGCCTATGTTATATTCAGTTAGGTTGATGTTTGATTTGTCAGATTTATTCAACATGTTTACTTAACATGGACGGGTCAGTATTATTATATAGCTATATAGTTACCTGTGTTATTTTATTATGATGTTTTGGAGAGGGGGAGTAGAGCCTTTCAGTTCAGTAATCGGGCTGCATATATGAATCATGATCTATTGTATAACTCATGTAAATACAAGGTATGTGTAAATCTGTCATTGGTGATTGAAATGTAAGTTTGACCTCCTTGTCTGGCCCAAGTTGTTGTAAACCAAATTTTCTCACATCCTGTCATTAAGTGGCATGTATTGCAGCTGGTGTATGTATTCTATGGGGGAGGGGCAGTGAAAATATTCTCCTCATCCAGGAATGCTAGCATTAAACACAGAATAACACATGAACTCAAAGAGATGTGTTTGTCCAAATACATTTAACACATTTAAATTTTTTATGTTGGGTAACCTTATACTGACTGTAATTTTACTCTTTTTTCTTGGTTGGTTTTGTTTTTAGTTTCGCCTGAATGTTTCTGACATCCTGGAACCGAAGCATGATGATCATTTTTTGTTGAGATGGCTTAGAGGTAGGTATTCTTTGACATAATCTATTCTCTCTATCTCTCTGTATAAAACATTTGGCTGCAGGTCAAGATGATTTGTCCAACTTCTTTAAATTGAAATGTTCTTTCTCCCATCAATTTAAATTATACTGAACATTGTTTTATAATCACCAGTTTTCTACTTTCTTCCAGCAAGGTGTTTTGACTTAAAGAAATCTGAAGCTATGCTTCGAAATGTGAGTATTCTAATTTGGTAGATTGTGCAGTTAAACCAGAGGTCACTATTGTAAATAAAAGAACAATGACCAATGCATTCCTTCAACTGTTTTTGATAAATAAAGATACAAGCAAAGCAATTCTAAAAAGAAAAACTCAAGGGGAAAGGAAACAGTACTGGTAATAGTCTCACCATAAAGTAATAATGATGATAGCCTTTCAACTTATTGATTACTCCCAGCGGTATATTCTAATACACTGAGTACCAAAATACTTCAATAGAGTGTATCCTTGCAATCGATTTTATCAGACTAAATTCTACTTTAAGATCATTGTGATACATGATGCCAACACATTGAAATATCTCTTACAAAAAATATATATCAAACATGGCAGTTGATTAAAAAAAACATCAAGATGATTTAGGTAAGCAGTGGGCTGTGATTATGTTATGCTGTTGTCTAGTAGGATGTATTACTAGTACATGGAGTTTATATTGCCTATTCTGAATTACGAAATTGGTGCCTTTATTAGTGCATTGTTGGATATTGCAGCATTTGGCCTGGAGGAAAAAAGTTGGTGCTGATACCATATTAGAAGATTGTGTGCTGCCAGAAGTGATCACGACCTACTATGCTGGTGGTTGGTGTGGCTTTGATAAAGAGGGAGACCCTGTATGGGTAGACCCAGTGGGAAGATTAGATCTAAAAGGTAAGGAGGTTAAAGATGTCAGTTATCTTTCAAAGAAATCTTTACCCTTTTTTTGTCAGTTCTCACTCAAATCTTGACTAGGCTTATTTAGCAATTTAGCTGGCCACAGTAATTTATGTATAATAATGATATATGGTATTACTCCACGTATCTCTCTTCATAAAAGAATGCAGTCATATGTTCATCACCTGTTACATGCCTTGGCTGGGCACATAAATTACAGTTACATTATCTGTAGCTATTCTAATAATTTCACTGCACTAGATCCTGTTTATTGCATAGTATCCCTTATTTACTACTTAGGTATAGCTCATTCTGCAAAGAAAGAGGATATCATTAAGTCTAAAATCATGTGTGTTGAACGTGGATACAGAATGATGGCAGACCAAAGCAAGAAGGTATAGTGTTTTAGATTTATCTTCACATAAACTACCTTTTAACATTTGGTTGTTCATTATGCAGCTGGTTTATACTGTTTCAAAGACTTCAATGTGACAAATTTGGCAGTTTTACCCCTGGCCTAGCCTTTAGCCAGCATTGTGTGTGTGTGTGTGTGTGTGTGTGTGTGTGTGTGTGTGTGTGTGTGTGTGTGTGTGCGCCCACGTGCACATGCGTGTGTGCTTTTTTTCTGGGGCCTTTTTATGGCATAAGTTCATATTAGTAGCATATTTTCAATCATTTTTTTATTTAGAGCAGACCTTTTCCCAGCTTAATGGGCAGTTCTTTCAAACTGTTGGCCTGTAATGACAAAAGCTGGTCCCAAGAAAAGATTTAGAGGAGGATCCCAGGTTCCTCTCCCCTCTTTTGTCTCATTGCTCTTTAATATCTGGTTATTGGTTTGTTGGCCATTAAATCATACAGTATTGTATCTGTAATTTTGAAACCACTGTGTGGGTGATACATTCAGCAAGCTGCCAAATCATGAATTCAGAGTTATTGTTGGATGTATTAAAGTATTTAAGTATCCCTATTGTAGACCTGAATCTGACATTTGGACCTCCAAGTTGTTTTGCTAAACAACTCAAGGGGTATTAAAACAACATAGCTATTTATTTAAATTCTTGAAGTATGAGACAACTAAATCAACAATGACAAAAAACATCTTAATGGATAGTCTTTTCACATTTTCAGTTGGGAAAAAGAGTAAGCCAGCTGTGTATTATATTTGACATGGAAGGTTTTGGAATGAAACATTTATGGAAGCCAGGTAAGCTTGTTCGAGAAAATAAACAGTCTCGTGATATGTTGACAAGTCTTTGCTCACTTTTTTGTCTGTCTGACCTGCTGTTTGTATTACAATTACATTTTTTATTTTTCATTGAAAGAGAAAAATACTATGTGTAGGGACCTACTTAGTACTGTATATTGTTTCCTTACCTATAGTTATCAGAAGACATAGACTTGACATTGAATCTTTGACTTTGTATTTTTTATTTTATATAGAGAAACAATTAAAATAAGTTACATACAATTTTTCAAAAAAGTCACTTTTTCTTTATTCTATAAGTACTTGTTCTGCCGATTATAATATTGGATATCTCAGAGTACTAAACATATGGTTTATAGAGATTTTTTGTTAAATGTTTTCATTAAGATATATTTCACTTGATCTATGCTTTCATTTTATGACCATCAGATAGAAATGACTCATCAGTCAAATCATTACAAAGTGTGTTATTCAGGGCTATTATTACAAACTGGATACAAATGTGACAGAACTTTCAAATGTATAATTTGTATGAACTGCAATCTGTACCAATGAGTAGTTCACAGGTTTATGAAATATGGAAATATAATCGATAAAATCTGCCTCTCTTGATTATATTATTATGCTACAGACAGTGTATTGTACTTTCCAGGTGTAGACATATTTTGTGAAATTTTAGAGATGTTTGAGAGTAATTATCCAGAAACTCTAAAAAGATGTTATGTCATAAATGGTAGGTAAAAACCAATATCATTATGGATTGATATATTTAGATGTTAGCAGGCTTATATTGAAGTTAACATTAAATTAATAAACTAGAAACACTTTATTGACTTGATTTTGATATATAGGGGCCATTCCCACAGATATTTGGATCGATCGATCTATCTCCCTGGGGAGTCTCACTAAATTGCTATTGATGTAACTGGCTTAAATGTCTTTCACACCTAGGAAAGCTGTTAGGGAGTAAATATCTTTACACCCTAGCTGATTCGGTAGGCGTGACAGACATGTAAGCCTCTTGAGCTGATAGCAATTTAGCATGAACCCCCAGGGAGTTAGGTCGATCCAGATGGATCGATCTAAGTATGGGAACCCAATCATACATACCTTTCTAACTAGCAGTACTAGTTTGCTTGTATTTTAACCCCAGGCTTTGACATACTGGATGATTAAATGATGTGCTCCCTCTCTTTTTCCAGCTCCAAAAATATTCCCTTTAGCTTACCATATTGTGAAACCCATTCTCAGTGAAGACACCAAAAACAAGATCAAAGTACTCGGAAGTAAGCAAAGTTTTATCTTCATGTGGGATAATGACATAATATAGATAATACATCTTATATGTAGAACACCATACATTTTGACAAAGCATACAAAATTATTTGGATATATTTGAATATGTTTGATATTTGGAAGGTTTCAAAGATAAGTGTAGATATGGAAAATATGTTGACAGATGTTGGTGTTGACAGATGGGCTGGGCCATAAGTCAGAAGTATTAAAACTTATTTAACTATTCAAAATGCCATACACAAAGTACATTTTTGGTAAGTTGGAGTTCTGACATATTTTTAGGCTTTGAATGTCATTACTAAATTTTTGCATCGATCATAAAATCATTTTTCCATTGCAGGTAATTGGAAAGAAAGGGTACTTCGGGATATAGACCCAAAAGAAATACCATTATACTGGGGAGGAACACGCACAGATCCTGATGGAAATCCATTTTGTAAATCCAAGGTAGTGAAATGCTAAAATGTAATGTGGTTGTTTCTGAGTTTTATGCCATTCAATTAGATTGGAATTTAATCATCCAAGCATGATTCACTAACAGTTTATTTTTTTCAGGTTTGTATTGGAGGTGAAGTGCCAAAATCTTACTATCTCAGAGAGAAGGACCAGCTCTCCTCAGAATACCTTGTAAAGTCTGTTATAAAGAAAGGATCAATGCTCCCTGTAGAGCTGGAGGTCAATGAACCAGGGTGTGCAATAAGGTGATTGCAATTCATCAAAATTCCATTCACTCTATGTGTGAATGTAATTGATTCTTATTTATCATTTATTTTTAGATTACTGGTTATGGTATGTAGTGTATGACTAGTGCAACATTTTAATGGCCTTTTTGTGTGTTCTTTAGATTTATCAGTGCATTCTTAAAAATTTTAGTACATCCTCTATTCAGTAAGTGTTATGCAAGTACTTTGTAATAAGTAACTAAATTAAAATTGTAAATTTCTGATGCAAGATGTGTTACTTAATTGTCTAATGGTAAGCTAGCAAAACCAAAGTTGGCATATATTGATCTATTTTCTTAAACCTGTGAATCATGACAACATTGTTAGTTTTGCTTTGGTAAAGACAGTTAACCTGCACTTCTGTATTGTTCTATTTCAGGTGGGAGTTTCACACAGAAAACCATGACATAGGTTACGCCATCTACTACAAGACAAGCCCTGGGGAGCAGAATGTGTCGGACATGGAGGTTGTGGTTGGTAATAAGAGGGTCAACAGTCACTTAGTGCCCGAAGATGGAACTGTTTATTGCTCAAAGGCAGGAATATGTAAGTTACTGTAAGGACAATGATGAAGTATTCACAAGGCAAACTTGATAAGTTATATGAAATAATTTTGGAATTGAATACATGTAGCAGTTGCAAGTAAAATTCTGCACGGCAAATTTAAAGGGTCTTGGTATATTCCACATAAAAGCTAGTTGAATTATGCAATTTTTCTCGTTTCATTGTGACCAGCATTGATATTCCATTGGAATTTTACATCATTTTTGGAATAGGTGTATAATCTTCTGGTGATAGTTTTTTTATGTCTGGCATATTATCTATTTTCTATGTTTCACATTTTTAAAAAAATTTAATAAACAATGTATTTCTGAAAGTTATAATACTATATATAATATATTTTTTTCAGATGTGTTTTGCTTTGACAACAGTTATAGTTGGACCAGAAGTAAGACTGTTCTGTATGTGATAGAAGTGATACATCCGGAGACACCTAGTGCAATGTGTAATGGGTATACACAGGAGGATGGAAATGAATAAAAAATTCTGCTTAGATACATTAAGATATATTTCAGTACTCTCTGATCATAGGAGTTGCTTTTGTTTTATCAGTTTCAAAATTGTAGAAAAGGCTCCTGTGAGGTTTGAGATGATCAATCTGTCTACTTTTATGTACCAGTAACTACCCCTTCCCTACCACCTATAAAAACGCAAAGTAGTAAAGGAGATAATTGTGTAATCACACAGCTGTACATTTGGAATATGTCTGACTCCTTGCTTGACCTTATCTATACAGCTATTAATATATTGCCTCAACACCTAGGTGTGAAATCTTCCTCTCAGAGAAATACAGAGGGTATATCTGGTGAGGAACATGTTTCACCTGACCATCTCAAATCTCACAGAGGTCTTCTCTTCAATTTTGTAACCAACTAGGTTACAGCAGCCCATGTGGTCAGGGCCAGCAATTTGTAGACAATCATATTAGTAAGAAATGCTGGCATCAGTAAAATAGCCCATTATCTACAGCATAATATCAAATAGATCTGTTGTGTTACGATATATGAATGATCAAGAAAATCCATTTTGTTATTTTGAATTATGCCTCTCAAACTTCATAACTACTGTGTTTGAGTGGGAAAATGTTTCTTTGGGAGCACATGTATTAATTGTGGGGAGCCATATGAAATACCTCTAGATGAAGTCACAAATGGTGTCACAAAACAACCAATCAGCAGTGACTATATCCTTTTCAACATTTACCATACATCTGAAATCCATGTCATCCCATTCATGTGGGCATCTGTAGAATCAAGAAAACACTATAGGCACTTGGTTTGATCATTGTATTAATAAATGTTCCATCACTTAGAAGAGCCCATACCTATCTTACCGTGTGTCTCACTATAGTGTGAGTACACTTATCAGTAAGAAACCTTTTGTTGGGTGTGAACCATGATATACATGTATAAGATTTATTTTATGCATTTTGACGTATTAAAAATGATGCATACTTGAGCACATTTGAAGGTAACACGTCTTTACCCCTGCATATTACTAGGTAGTCAGGCTTCGTATATTTAAGATACATATAAAGCATTGGGTTGCATTTTCCATTTTAACATTTTAATGTGAAATAATTGTGGTATTAGTCTTTTTTTTCTTTCTTTTATCATATTGAAGATCTTTTGCAAATTGCAACTGAAATAGATGTACCAATAGCAGTATTACTGCCAAGAGAACACAATAACATGAATGATGATAATTGATTTTTTTGCTCTTTGTGACATTTAGTGGAAGTATAACAATTGATTTTTGCTTGTCTCTATATTAAAATGTTGTCAGTAGAACTATGACTGATTGGTTACAGGTAGAACATCTGCTTTATGACTCAAAATGTTTATTTGCAATGAGGTGCAACTTCACATATTGGTTTTGTCTTACAACGACAGGATTACTACAATCCCCATTGTTTGAGTAATACTCCTGTTGCCAATACTTTGAAATGGTCACCTGATATTTTAAGACATTTTTGTTGCTATGGTAAGCTACACCTGGCCAGTATTTTTCTGGTTGTGGTGAAATGCAATCAGCAGTGCTGATGCTATTTTTGTTGTTGTTGTTGTTACATATACTATGGTTACAAAATCTGTATAAGAACTGATAAACAATATTTTACACAGATAGAACTGTTGTGTTTCCTGTTTCTGGTAGGTGGTCGTTATGTAAACATTCACTTGAGCCAGCATGAACTGGTCTTGAAACAGTCAAACCCTTATATACATATTTGTTGCAAAATTGATATAGTAATTAGACTACAATTTGTTGCAGTCTGCTTAATGTAATGTCATTTACAGCCAATATACATCCAAACTCACTCTAGACATTTTCTGAAATGTAGTTATCAGCTGCCAAAAATGTTTGGTCTCATGATTAAGTTTTAACCCTATGTTTTGTCTGAATGCAATAGCTAATTGAGCAATCAAACCCTTCAATTCATTTTCAGTGATTCCTATACCAGCAATGGTACAAAAATAGTCTTCATTGAAAGAGCTACCTGATACATCTGTGATAATAAAAGCAATGAGAATTGGAAATGTGAGCGTGCATGTGTGAATGAGTCTTTATGAGTACATATGTATATGCATGTTTTTAAATGAAAGCTAAAGAATTGCATTTGCCAAAGAAGTACTCTTTTAGCTTTCGATGTCCCCATGTGTTAAATCTAGTTGTTTTTTTTTTTTGTTTTTTGTTTTTTGTTTGTTTTTTTTGTACAGTGAATTTTGAAATAATATTAAAGGGATAACAACCCTTCATATGAGCTTGATATTTCACAATAAATATGCTGTGAACAACTCAGAAATATAATGAATTCTATTTTACCACCAAAACCATGGTTATCGCAATTATTCTAGAATGTGTGATTTCCATCAGGCCATATGACCTCCATAGATGACTTCCCTCTGTAATAATCTCTTAAGAGATTACTACTTGTACAAAAAAGTAAACTTAAAAAAAAACTAGTGACTATCTTTTGGATGTTACAAGGTATATCTTCCATTTTTCCCAGGAAAATCCATTTTTGGCCAAAAGGAACAGTTGTTATCCCTTTAACTACAATATCATTAACCGACATCAAATTTGATGTTGATGTAAGTTTTAGTCAGATTTGATTTTGCTATTGTAATAAGAACATGCCAGTAATTCATTGCCAATTGTGGCAGTTAAATAAACTATAGATTCTCACTTTTTGTGTTCATGTCATGTTTGTAACAGGGGATACCTTGGTTTTAGCTTTGAATCACTTAGGCCGCATTCACAAAAGTGGACTCGCAAGTCCGCAAATCAGAAATGGCTACCCACATAAAAGCTTGCCGCTTTATCCCCTAACAGACACTGAATAGATTCCCTGGGGGGATTACACAAGCATTCAAGTGGGTCAGCCATATTTGATCTGCGGACTAGTTAGTCTAGTTGTGAATGCAGCCTTATGGAATGAGAATTGAAGCAATGTTACAGTTACACCTCTACATTGACAACATAGGCATTATGCTCCAGTCTTATGGCATAGATCACATCTCGACTTGAATATATTTCTGTGGAAGGTCAAATTCATATTTACATTTCGTTTCATTTTTTTTTTTTTTTTTTTTTTTTTTTTGGGGGGGGGGGGAGGTTAATAGATTTCGTGTATCTATATGTTGCCTGAGTTAGTGATCAAAAACATTTTACTACATACAGTTATAATAGCTGAAAACGTGAGATATCCAACACCTGTAGTAAGTGCCAGAGGATGACATTGGAAGTGATACGCTGAGTAGTTATAATACTCCTGTTGCCAATACTTTGAAATGGTCACCTGATATTTTAAGACATTTTTGTTGCTATGGTAAGCTACACCTGGCCAGTAGTTTTCTGGTTGTGGTGAAATGCAATCAGCAGTGCTGATGCTATTTTTGTTGTTGTTACATATACTATGGTTACAAAAATATGTATCTATCTAGAAAAACAAGATAGAAGATAGTAGTTGCATCTTCTATCTTGTTTTTCTAGATGTTACTCTAAGGTTGACGCAGAGAATGATTTTTACCCATTTGCTGACACGTGCATGTTTTGTGTGTCCAGTATTTATTTGTTATTTGCATTTGCCTTGACACATAAAACATATATCGAAATAACAAGTTCAGATTTAAATAAAAAATCAGTTTTAATTCATTATCCGGATTACCTAGAGTAAGTGCACATGAAAGGTGTGTAGAGATTTGGGTTAGGGTATATATCTTGTATATCTTATTTGATTTTAAATTATGCTTAGTTTTGTCTTTAAGTAGGTGTAGCCTTCTATCACAGGCAAACCACAGCTTTGAGCCTTTATCCCTGATGTTATATATTGATTGATTGTATGGATACTCGCTGTCGTCTTAATCTTCACTTACAGTAAAGGGTAAGTTACAGAACCATTTTCACTGAACTATATGTGTGCTGTTTGAAGTAAGTGATGTTTAACAGGTCCAAATCATCTGTTTAGTAATGTAAACAAACTAGGATGTTTTTTTATTCAGTAACATTATTGTGTGACTGTAGGTTTATACGGTAGCTTGTGTTGTGTTTGAAAGAAATGATCCATATGTTGACTTGCCTGTTATGTAAAATGTTTCATAGAAATCTGAGTTATTGCTGTGACCAGGTATATTTTGTTTTTCTTGTATGATTTTTTGCTTTTTATCAATTATCTACACAGTTCTTTTAAGAAAAAAAAACTTAAAGTAATTTTAATCAGCTTTATGACAAGTGGACAACACATAAATGAATTATTCATTACAAGCCATCATTATGTATACAGTGTAGATTATGGGAGGAATGCATGACATGTGCCCACATAGAGTTGATGTAAGATATTACACTTCTGTGATTAACGGCAGGTAAGAAAATTCATCTAATGATAGACCAGCCTGCCACCCACCTGTATTATCATTATATAACCTGTCTGGGGTAGTTATACACAGGGTTGACATATGACTTGTAATATTTCAATTTTCATCTATTTTGGTGTGCATATGTTAGTACATTAAATAATTGTATTTCAGTATAATATATAATTATGATTAATACAGTTGTTCAAAAGATGGACATACATTTTATTTTTTTGAGAAGGCTAGTTCTTTTTTGAGTATATGTGTTTCTGTTTTTACAAGAAATCTTAGTAACCCTTCCCTTAAAAAATTGTCACTTTGTTTGCTTAAAATGACATAAACCAAAGGCATATACAATAGGGCCATCTGTAGGTTGGTTGCTAGAGCAAACTGTATTTGTAGTATGTCACCATTATTTTGCAAACACAGGAGTGTAGAAGCTAGCCTGCCTAGGAGCATTTACAGCCATTCTGAATAGACTTTTGTGCTATAGTTATAAACACCATCAAACTTAAGGAACGAAAAAGACTCGGGCAGCAAAGGACAAAAATTATTTCAGTAAGTGTGGTTTGATGTTTTCAAGGTTTTATCACTATTTGTAAAGATTTGGGTAGTTCAAATATTGGATATCTATTTTTTTTTTTTTTTATTTATTTATTTATTTATTTTTTTTTTTTTTGAGAGGCCAAGGCAGGCATATTTTAGACAAAAGCACAATTGATTGCAACATTATTTTGATTGCAACATCCCCCAAATTATTTTTTAAAAATTTGATATGAGTAGCAGCACAAGTGAAATTGTTTTGTTCCACAATTGCAAGTACCATTACAAAATTGCCTGTTAGAAGGATATTGTGAATGAAATGGTAAATTAGCTACTGTTAAGTTGTTCAAATGATTTTAATAATTAAACATAAATTTTAGTGCATTTCTTCATTATAGACAGCAGGTGCACATGTACAAATGTACACTGTACTAGTAGATCAGTTTTCCTGAATTTTTTTAAATTTCTAATTTTTTAAATAAAATATTGAGCTAAGTGAAGCATAAAAACAACTCATTTTTTAAAAACTCTAACCAAATTGTCATGCATATGTGATTTTTATTTTTTATTTACATGTAACTCCATCGTTCATAATTCTGAGAATATCAACAAGTACAAAAGTAATAAAATAGCAACTATGGTATTTGTGTTTCTTTTTTATTTTTCAGACTTATTTAAGTGCTAATACATTCAATTACAAACAGCTATACAACATCCTGAGATTTATAATATAGCTTTAATTCACACTTCATTATATATTAAGAAATATTATTGTTTTGGGAAAAGACACTAGCTGCAAGGGACTAATACCATCCTATATGATTAATGTTGATGGGTAACCAGTAGCAGAATCATAAATACATTATATACATGCATGGTAATGACACCATCTTTTCATTGGGAGGGGGGGGATTATTAACGATCTTTGAGATACATAATTTTAGAATCATTAAAAGTATATTACTATATAGCATTTGTGGTGATTTTACTGCATATAATATGAACTGAAGGGTAGTTTTGTGTGACTTAATCTTTGTAATAACTGCATTAAGGAATTTTTGTATGAAGGATAATGAATATAATATCAAATGGTGCTGAGTTATTACTTTGCATGGCTGAGGATTAGTTTTCCAATGCAGGTTCCTATGGCTCCTCTATTTTGAACTCTTCGGATTTACTTAAACAGACAATATGTTAAACAATTTTCCTTTTGACCAACTTAACAGTAAGTCTCATTTTCAAATGTGTGACTGTCAAAAACAGGGTACCCAATATACTGATATTTAGAAAAAAAATCCTCTACATGGATTTAGCGTGTAATTTCATTTTATCACACATGATTATCACATTACATATTTCATGATCTACTTCCTAATACATCTGTGAGGTTTATAAAGTGGTCTAGTGTATATACTTTTGTTTTTACTTCACATTTGTACCAAAATTGAGCTGAACTGACCATTGTTTATTCTTGTTTACCTTTGCAAGTGGTTGAATATTGTGAACTTTTCTTGTCCCTATTAAAGAGGTATCAATAAAAGACTAATAGGTCAGCAATGCCCATACCTAGAGACTTGTATAGAAAACGTCCACTTAAATACAATGAGGTTGCAATGCTCTGCATTTTTCAGATAGATTTGTACTGTTTTCAGCTTCACTGGTGCGTTAAGAGGTGAAAAGTTCACCGTGACGTCAAGTTCAGAGGTGTCAGCCAGGATCCTTGGGATATGTGGTTATTTGGGCGCAGTACAAAGAAGAAGTCACAGACTAAGAAGATGCCCAAGAAGGTAACTGAAAAATATTCCATATTTGTGTGTATATTTAATCTGTTAAGTTCTTTTTATGCTCAAAGTTATCTTTAGGGCAATTGTTTAACATTTGAAAATTCATTTTCTTTTTTGTGATGATTGAAAAATAGTATTTTTTAAATATATTTAATATAATTTAATCAACTTGGTTCCTTTGACATTTTATAAATTTTTTTCTACTCGTCTCATAGTAAGCATGCATTTGCTCATGCACAGTCAAAACTTTTACAATATTTCTGATACAACTACATTGGCAAAGAATTACATCATACAGTCTAGACTGGCAGTTCTATGTAGGTGAAAGGGGAGGGGCCGGGAACATACCTGGCGCACATGTACCTACATGCAGCTATACATATACCTGTGTAGTATATGTATCAAATTTTGTACAAACTGTTTTACCTAATTGTGGGAAAAAAATTAGTTGTCAAATAAATGGTTTTTGCGCAACACATTCAGCTTGCAGGCAGTGTAATGCAAATGTAAGATTAACAATGCAAGGGTCAGTGTCTCTACAGGTGACCACATTCCATAATTGGCAGGTGTCACAGAGTAGGATATAATAACAGAGCTGGTTTTATAACTTTTTATCAAATGTCCATATCAATATGGAATGTTGATACCAATAAGATACTTGAAAGTAAGTGCATATGCTATTATGAGATTATGGTTGTATAAGCATTTTGTTTGTTTTGCAAAGTGATATTGGATAGTTGAATGAGAACTTTAAAGTAGACAAAAATATTTTAATTGCACTATTTTTATAAGCATTATGCACTGCAGCATAAGAATTCCAGTTGGTTATTTAGTTTATAGTTTGATGGGAAAGAGGTAACCATGAAAAAAAAAATACAAATATTATGCAAATACCTACTACACACACCCTAATAATATAAGCTATTACATATACACCTATATGTTCAGTGACAGCTACTGGGAGAGAGGGAGGGAGGGATGATTGAGTTAAGTGGCCTATTATTCATTGTTTTGCACAATATTGTGTCCACAAAGGTTTTCCGAATTACTATATTTTGCTTCCTGTCCCCATAAATGTTCAAGATCACCATCATCAAGGGCAATTGTAAAGAGCCATTTTCTCAAAATCTTGGCTCTTAGTGGACATGTTGAGTAAATGGCTTTAAGTCCTTTACCAGCTCATATAACCATTTCTCCATGAGTGACACATGGGAAATATGAGTTATAGTTACCTAGTGTGGACATGTCCACAAAGCCACAATAGTGCTCTTTTTGTTACAAATACAGGTTTTACCTGCTTTAACCCTAGATCATGTTTTCATTATGGCCATTTTTGCTCAGTTATGGAATGCAGCCTCACCTGCAAATGACCCTAGATAGTAAGTATGGTTTTGTCAGACAGGCTATTTTTATTCATTGATCTGTATGATATAGATTGTCCAATGGCTCATTCCTATTAAAAAAAAAAAACAAGAAAAGTTTAATTCTGTATTTAAATACAGCATATTACAGCCACAATCTCTTACTTGTCATTCTAATTTGCATTAAACACATAATTAGATATAAGACTTTAAATTATTATTATTATGATTATGTGTCTTGCATTTCTTTTTTTTTTTTTTTTTTTTTTTTGTTTCTATTGATAGAGCTGTTGCCAGGGATACTTAGTGATTCATCAATGTTTTGTTATTCCCCTCCAACAACAGTAGTATATAACTTATGGGATGAAATATCACGTCCCTGGTAGTGTAAATAGATTTAATACAGTACTAGTAATAGGCGTTTATAAACCCCATAAAACCCAACATGCAGTGGCAGGTACACCCCTTTTCCTTACTCATAGACCAGGGGAGCAAACAAAGTCTTTAGTAAAGTGCTGCAAAATGACTGTGAGATTGCACCATAATTTCTAAACATTTCTTCCAAGAGAACAAAAAGCAGTCATGACATGTTTGTTAATGTTTGATGCAGGAGAATGGGTCCTGGTGTCTATAAAAGGCAATTTGAACTGCATTTGAATGTGTATGGCATGACATAATGTACCTGACATAATGCGTAATGGCTGGTGTCATTACATTGCACTGTACCTGTCAGGAATAAGTAAGTGTGTAGGTTGGCTGCAGTACACCTCTCATCACTGTTTGTACCATAACAAAGCTAAGATTAAGAAATAATCACATATAGTGAATGGTGAGTGTAAATCTTTTGGATTTGTCCAGTGGCCAAAAAAACATTTATTACTCTAATTCATTGCAATCCCACGGATTTTATTTTGATCAAGTCATTTGATTATATATGCAATAATCAACAACATGTCATATTTATTGATAAGTCAAAGGTCTAAATCCATCTAATAGCCCTTCTTTAGAACATCCTGAATGTTTTAAAAATTACCATCTGCCTTCATTCAGTGTTGATACCAGACACACCACAACATATATCTTATCTCATTCCAGAACATTTATAGAAGAAAGATTTGCATGTTTATCACTGTTTCCTGAATTTTTGCATAAGGATAAGCTAAAAATTAGATTATGGTTGAGCTTGATACATTTATTTGATTTTTTTTAGCTCTTTATTAGCAGATATATATAGATTTTAAAACAATTTCATGAAAAGAAGCTTGGGTGTCATTCTGGGATACTGTCTGTATTCATCTCTTATATCATGTCATGTTATGACAGTTATGTCATGTCGAGTTGTGTCGTGTCATGTCATGCTATGCTATGCTATGCTATGTTATGTTATGTTATGTTATGTTATGTTATGTTATATGTTATGTTATGTTATGTTATGCTATGTTATGTTATGTTAAGATGTGGTGTAGTTCAATGCCAGAATTCTTGACTAAAATAATAAGTGTGCCATTGCTCATGAAAATCAAAGTGAAAATATGATAATGAGCTGTTGCCAAGGTGTCAAACAAAACATTTAAAATTGTAACATTTCAATAGAAAAAGAACACTTGCTGTATTCAATAAAATAGCATCAAAGCTGTCAGTGATTTTCAGATATTTTCTTTTAATTTCCAGTATACCTTCAGCCATGTCAATGATGAGAGCCCTGAAGAAATAGCAGTGAAACAGGTGGGTGTGTGATCACTACAGGTATATGATAAAGAGTGGTTGATTTGATATGTTCTCAATCTGGATCCTGATGGGTTTTAATTTACTGCACTGTGTTCAAAGACAAAAAAAAATCCTGGGTAATTTTGTTTTATTTTTTCTGTTTATTAATTAGTTATTTATTTATATCTGCTTCATCCCAAGCGGTAAGAGATTCATCAAGAATTAATAAAATCAAATGTCAAAATTAAACACAAAGTGGCTACCTGAATTATAACACGAAAAACAATCTTGGGATTCAAATATTCAACAGTTTTTTTTCTTTAAATCTCTTTTTACAAATTATGCTTCAGTTGAATATATCAGTGGTCAGTGAGTGGTGCTGCAGCGGGTGCCTTTAGGTCAATTTTTATTTATTTATGAAAAGCACTGCTGCGGTTTAACTACATGTAGATACTAACATATTGCATGCACAATAGGGATCTGAGAGGCTCATTGCCACTCAACTTGTGAAGGTTTAATACACACAACACACCTTGGTACTGAATACACAGCTTACCATGTATTCCTAACAGTTAAGATACCCAAGACCTTATTGACTAAGTTTGTTTGCATGCATAATGCCTCTGATGGTATTTTTTAGGCTTAAGAAAGTGACCAAAGTCCAAGATTACATGTACCACATAACAAGGCAGAAATTATGTATTGACCAGTGTGTCTGATATAAACAGATTCAGAGACTGGTGACAAAGATATAAATAACCCCACTGCTTCACAACTCCTTGAATACCATTTGTACATGTAGAGGCCAAGATACAGTGGGAGAAAGCACATGGGAATTATCTAGAATATGTATGCCTATCATGCATGTGTTTCTGATCTCTGTAAAGCTTGGTATAATTGGGAGAAATAATTGACAATCCCATAGCTGCATGATAATTAAGGAGCCATAAGGCAGCAGGCTTGTTTTCATTCCTCTTCATTGTTAAAAATACATATACATGCATGTATATAAGTATGCATGTAACTGGTTTTACAATTCGCTTAGAATATTTTGAAACAATATTTTTCTTACATTTTATTTGAGTCTTCTATATCATCACCTTTTCCCACAAATGATAATATCTGTCTTAAATACTATGTTTTTCATTACAGCTGAGAAGTTCAGTGAAAGATATACTCAAATCCCATCAAGACAATGATGATTACCTCAGAAAATGGCTTAAAGGTACTATTTTATCAGCTTTGTATCCATGTCTACTCAAATGTATCTATGCACCCAAATCTCCTTCCTCGTGTAAACTGTAAGGTCATAATTAGGCTTTTAAAACCCTTCATTGTTATTTCAGCTAGAAATTATGATGTCATGGAAGCTGAAAGAATGTTTAGAAATGTAAGTATTTTAAACATCTAAAAGATAGTATGCCTTGATAGAATAATGAAAATAGTTTATTCCAGAAGGGCAAAAGTTTGAAAATTTACGTTTTTTACAAAATATTTAATGCAATTAAATGTCAAAAGACAGGGTTAATTGAAATAATTATGTTTTAAATGATATTTAATATGTATGGATAAAATACTAGATATTAAAAGTGTAATTGTCACCTGCATTTAAAAAAGGCAGTTGGGATAAAAGAAGTCCTAAAATTTTGGGTTTTAGTTGGTGTTTTGACATAAATGGGCATCATGCAAGCTTTTATGGAAAGTTACGTGCCAAGAATTATCATTGGTTGAGGGAAATATTTTTTGCTAAAATTTTTTTGTATTTTAAAATGTGCAGAAATGGTTGTTTGCAAACAGCAAAACTGGTATATGTAACTTTTCTTATTGTTGGTTATATAAAAATTTTCTATAAACCTAAGTAATATTGTTGGATATATGTATATTTTCAGAGCATGGCTTTCCGCAAAAAGATTGGTGCTGACACATTGCTACAGAAGTACACGCCTCCTGAGGTAAAAAGATCTAGAATTATCACTGCTTTTTGTTTTACTATCCTCTTTTACTGATTTATGCATTATTTTTACACATGATGTTAATTACCTAGAGTTACAAAGAGTTACATTACATTAGAGTTACATGTATGCGATGTTCTGCTAAAAGTTCTGCTAAAAGTAATTTTAGCAGTCTTCTTACAGGTAAAGGACTATGTCAAACAGGACCATAGGCAGGGAGGGTTGGGGGATTCCATAGACCCCCCTTTTTGCTTTGCAAATGGTCCTCTCTGGGTAAAATTTTATTTAGGCACATGAAGGTTTCATGGCAAAAGGTCTGCTTTTT